CTGCTCTCTTGTCTTCCAAGGCTGAGACAGGCGGGAAGTCTCTGAAATCATCTCTGTTAGAGAATCTGTCCTCTTCTGGTTCTAGAGAAGGAACGTTTCTCAGGGTTTCAGCTCACACAGAAACGAAGCAGGATTCTTTTCACTGCAGCAGGATATGTATATAGGTGAATCCTGTGGTGTTGGGCTACTGGGCCCAGGTGCTGAGAATAGCAACTATTTTATACAGTGTGGAGGGCCAGGGCCCTGCTGGCTTTTTTGATACACAGGTAGAGAGTGACTAGAAAAGGGGAGGGTGGGGGGGTGGGAGGCAGCTCAGCAGGGCTGCCGGAACTTGAGAAGAGCGTGAATGTGAGCGTGTGCATACACAGGAGCACCCCTTCCTGACTTGTGGCAACAGGATTCCTCCTGGGGCATCTTCCCTGCGTGGCCCAGAGAGGCATCTAGCCAAGAGACTTCAGTTGGGATGGTAACTTTACCAACACCCTCCTAGTTCTTGACAGACAGCTTCAGGTCGCTGGTTCAAGAATATGGGTGGGATGTGGGAATGCTCTTTGAATACTGAGCTTCAGTTTTCATTCACCTTCCTGCTCAGCATTGTGTCAGCCAAGAGCTTACTCAGCAAACACCTCACATTGCTGCACTTCCTGGCGAGGGGAGTCCCAGGTTGTGCTACTAGAAAACACTTCACTTCCACTTCCTTACCTGGGCAGTCCTCTGTTGAAAATTTTGTGCTGAGATTTGATCTCCCTCTCCCACGGTTACTGCCGTGCCCAGGAGGGTGCACAGGCCCTGGTTCTGGCCCTCCAGTCACCTGTCTAGGACACCCCTCTGGTCCACCAGGACCTCTGACCCAGAGGCTGGGATGGGGTGCTGGTAGGCAATATGTTTGCTTGCTCACAGTGACGTCCTCTCTTTCTCCGGACACCTGCTGCTTCTGTGGGTTTGTGTGTGGCAGTGGGTGAAGTGATTGCCTGAAGTCTGCAACCCACTTTTTATTACCATTAAGGGGAGTGTTTGAGAAAGCTTTAGCGCTTATAGTGTCAGGGCAAGGAGATAAAAACTGGAGCCCAAAGAGATTCCCCTTAGGGCAAGATTATAACAGAAAATTGACACCGTGGCAGAAACTGCCAGCCCTATTCAAATGTTTAGTCCTGCAGCAAATAGCATCTTTTTATAGTCCACAGCACGGTTTGGGGATGCTAGGCCCTCAGGGCGGGAGGGGGAAGGACAGAATTGAAGCCGCTTTGGGTTTTTTTGGGGGGGGCAGGGGGTACTTGCTGTTCACTTTTGACACTGGAAAGTCATCTTTTCATAAAAAGCTCTTTCTAGGTGGGTGGAGAGTGAAACTGCCACATCCTTGTTGGTTTAGTCCAAGAGATCACTCGCAACAACAGTAGATGTCTGGGTTTTGTTTGTGTCTGTCTTTTTATTATGAAAAAAAAAAAAAAAACAATGTTAAGGGGGGAAGTGTGGATTAACTGGAGGGATCCCTAGCCTTGTTTTCCTTAGAAGACTTGTTTAGTGTTTTATCAGACGTCTGTTGTAGTTGTTGTAGGTGGAAAAGCTTGTGAGACAAACCACCACATGGAGCCTGTAAATGTTTTTGCACAACCTGTAAAGCATTCTTGGAAGTGGCCAGTATAAAAAGGGTTTTACCGTTTTAAAAAAATGTAATTGTGTCATTGTTTACATCTGTAACTTTTTCCTCCCCTGTTCTCATTACAACATTCTGGCAAAAATGTAGGCACGGTAGCTACCAGTTTTAGAATAAATAACCATTTGGATTGAATTCACCTTCTCTTCTGTGGCTGCAGTGACTGGGTAGCGTGTGTCATTGGGGGATTTCCTTATGTCTGATGCTGCTGCTTAAGCTGTACTGGGTTCCAGCTAAGGGTGGCTTTCCTCTTGCAGAGCAGCTTCTCCCTTCCCATTCTACCATGCTTTCACTGGGGAACCAGCAACACCTTCACTCAGGGTTTGTTGGCTTACTTAAGTGCTTGCTTTTACTAAGAGTTTGAACCACTGGTGTAGAAGAAAATAAGTTATAACTCATGACTTCTGTGTTTTCGGCCTATACTAAAACCAGTTGAGTGTGAGAGGTTAAATGTAGGGTTGTCCATTTAGGGGCCACATACGTTTATTTGTGAGTAATTCCCACTTAGGGAAGCCTTGGTGGCTCGGTGGTGAAGAATCTGCCTGCCAATGCAGGAAGCGCGGGTTCAGTCCCTGGGTCCGGAAGATCTGGAGAAGGAAATGGCAACCCACTCTAGTATTCTTACCTGGGAAATCCCATGGACAGAGGAACCTGGTGGACTACAATCCACAGAGTAGAAAAAAGTCAGACATGACAGCACCTAAACAACAACTAATTACCACTTAAAAGGAAGAGCCTACTTATTCAGCAGAAGGTGTTTGATGGGGATTCTTTCCTAGCGAATTTGTAGAATGAGAAGGTAACTTTAGCTGACAAAAGCATTTGTGTCACTAGCATGGAACTGACCTTGATTGTAATTTCTAATAAATGGTCAGGGACTTATTAAGGCTGGGATACCACAAGCTTATGACATGTAGGGTTTTGAAGTAGTGATGATATAGTTACTGCTGTAACTCCTCCCTTTGGACATGACACAGATTCTCACCCTAGAGTCATGGCTTCGAGCCCAAAGGCTATCCTTGATCTCAGTGTCTGCCCATTCTCTAGGATTCTTAAAGTTACTCAGTGTTATAGTTACTCATTTTAAGTGGTTATTTATAGCTTATGTCTTGTCTCTAGTAACCTCTAATCACCCCCACCCCCACCTTTTCCCTAACTAGGGTTGCAGACATTCACCTCTAATCTGACAAGTATGAAAATGGAGTATGTAGAAGAACTGAGCAGAGGCTGCTTTAAAAAAAAAAAATCGAGATTACATTTTTTGAGTACTTCTGACTTTATGAAGTCTGAGCAGATGTAGAAATTTTCACTTACTCCTCTGGAATTTGCCCAACACTGTGATAACAGGAAAAGAGAAAGATTGTTTTATGCCCTGCTTGCCATTTAAGCATGTATAGTACAATCAAATTGTTAGATATTTAAATGCCTGCTATATGCCAGACACTGACGGGATGCAGAGATTTTAAAAAAACTTGATCCTTCGAGGAGTTTTCAACAGGCACTAAGAACTAAGCGGGCTTCCCTGGTGGCTCAGATGGTAAAGAATCCACCTGCAACGTGGGAGACCTGGGTTCTATCCTGGGTTAGGGAGATCACCTGGAAGAGGGAATGGCAACCCACTCTAATGTTCTTGCCTGGAGAATCTCCATGGACAGAGGAGCCTGGTGGGCTACAGTCCATGGGGTCACAAAGAGTAGGACACGATTGAGCGACTAAGCACAGCACAAGAACTAAACAGGTTCCTGAACAGAATCTAGGTAGGTCCCTACTTCAGGAGGGAGACCAGGTTACTTGCTCGTTTCTTCCTGTCTAGGATGAGGGAATTAAGTATCTCCAGGGCCTATTAGGGCTCAGGAATTCAGCAGCAGCTCCCTAAGTTCACTGGGTACCCCTGTAGCCTGTGGAGACATCCACAGGAATCTGTTATTCCCCTGGTTTCTTCTCTATTCTCCCCGTACTTGGCTTCCTGTGTGAAAGTGTGAGGAAGCTGGGGGTGATATGCTTTCTCTACTATAGGTCACCCACATCTACTGCAAAGCAGCTCCTGCCCCTAAGTGTATCCCAGGACACAGCATGAGCTGATCGAGGCTTCCCCGGGGAAAGGATGTATTCCTGAATGGGGGGTGGGGACTCTTAATCCTTGAGGAGCAGAGATCCTGAGACTACTACCTTCTCTGCCTTGGCCTTGGTCCCACCTCCTTCTGTCCCTTGGAAGGCAAAGGCTGCTAGAAAAAGTATTCTGGGGCTTTATAAACCTCTGCCGAGGCTGAGCCCAGGAGGCGCTCGTGAGACAAGCCTCTGGCCGGTCAGCTTGCTGGCTGGACCACTACGAGGGGTGGTAAGCGAACCAGGGGCGGGGACATTAATCCTAGCGGATGTGACAGAATGGGCCTGAATGGGAAGTGAGAGGATAGTAAGCCCCAGTTCTACCAGGAAGCCAAAACTGAACAATTTAGGGCTTATCCAACTCCTAGGGAGAACAAGAGCCAGCCGAGGAACAGCACCCCCAAGCCGAAAGGTGCGGGAATTGTCACACTTGTGTTGCCGCTCCGAAGGAGCTTCCACTAGGCAAGCTGTAGGGACCCAGATTCTCATAAAATCCACGCGTCCGGCGCCTACTATATCGGCGTGCTTGCCGGGGTTCCCTTGTCCCAAGATCCTTGGTTATAGCCGCCCCTGTGCCTTCACCTGGATCGGGTGGACGTCGACGTCCAGCCTCCGGGCTGGGGAGAAGTGGGTATCGAGTTGGCGAGGACACAGGCAGCCATTTTGAGACACATGAGCAAGGAAGAGACCATATTGAGACCTCCGGCTGCCTGGGGCCGCCATTTTAAGTATGGGCCCAGCGGAGAAGCCCTGTATGGTGAAACGCTGTGACGCGCGGCCGCCGTATTGGCGCGGGCCCCATGGCGGCGGCCATCTTGGGGGGGGGGCTGCTGTGGGCGCAGCCATCTTAGAAGTAAAACCGGCCCCTCCTCAGGAACTGGAACTGAGCTCCTCCCTCTCCCTGGGTACCTCCTGTCTTCGACTTCCCTCGGGAATGCCTTCCTAAGTTTGCCCGGTTCGGTCTGTTTTCTTTTTCATTTGTCTTCATCGCGTTCTTGTGTACTTGTAGGAGTTCTCTCTGTAGCCTCTGAGTGCCTGTTGGTAACAGTTCTCCCACTTGAGACGCTTTCTCTTGCTCGCCATCCCCTCTAATCCGACGAATCTCTGATCCTAGAGAATGTCTAACGCGCTTTGACTGGCCCTGTTTCCTGGTTATGGCAAGCCTATCTACCTGTGGCACCCACCACCAAATCTATTGACTGATGAGCCTCTCCCCCCAAGAACCGTAACACAGGAGCTGTCCTCTGAGACTCTGGATGACTTTATTCTTCACATGGCTTTAGCCTCCCAATAGCTCCAAGGTGAGATTGAGAGCAAGCACCCAGCCCATCCCTCTCTCCATTGTCTGAGCAGGTCACAGAGGGAAGCCGGCGGGACGCTGACAGAGTCTGACAGCCCTTCTGTGGGTGGAGTACGGGTGCCCCGAGTCACAGGGTGCTTTGGGTCTGCCACAGGGGGCGAGGAAGTGGAGTCGGCAGACAGGTGACGGAGGGCTTGGGCTTCGGATAACCTCACAGAGTTGGGCAAGGGCTAGGGGTGGGATGCAGGGGTCCTCGGGGGCTCACGACAGTTACTGACATAAATAAGGAAGGGCCCGGGAGAAGGAAAGGTGAAGAGTTGTGAAGAGGATCAGGGCAGCTCAGAGGAGAGCACAGAAGAATTTCTTCTCCCGGAAAGGGTTCTCCGAAGTGGGCACAGGGGTGATGAGGGGGTCCTCACAGGCGTGGGCATCACAATAAGTCATCAGGTCTGCTGCTGCCTTGGACACCTGGGGCACAGCCAGGAGGGGAATTGTTAGCCAGAAATCCCGAAGGGGGCTGCAGCCTCCTTCCCCAAATAGATTATCTTTTGCCATCTTTAGGACTCCTTAAGGCAGTCTTCTCTTCCCTCATCACCCACAGAGACATGGAGCCAGCTTTCCTTACAGATGCCAAGACTCCTTCCATGATCTCAAGGAGTCAGTGAAAGAAAGCCTCTCTTAGCCTGAGGTTTGGGCACCTAGGTACAGCCTGCCAACTAATGGGATCCAGGGCCCCACCCACCTTTATCCGGCACAAGCTGGCTTCGATCTTAAGCTGTTCCACCATCTTGCGGGCTTGCCCAATACTCATAGTGCTGTTCACAGGGGTCTCCCCTTTCATCCTGGAGAAAAGACAGCTCAGAGCATGCTAGGGGGCCCTTCACAATTTCAGCTGAAGGCCCCGTTCCCCCATTACGCCTCATCAACCATTGCAAAGCTAGGTCATATACCCTAATATTTTACTCCCCTCTTATTCCCAACCTCCCTGGCCTTTCCCATCTCCCCGTTCCTCAGCTAAGGAAGCGGAGAAGTGGAGTGAGATGCTCCCAAACTCCTACAAGGCCTGGGCTACAGATCATCAAACATATGAATGACTGAAGGCTTTACAGCCCTCAAGCTATCTCTGTTCCTAGCTCTGAAAACCACAACTAGAAAGAGACCCACCCTAATAAGGAGGGCACATAACCCCCACCTGCCCCCTTAAGCCCCAAAGGGAGAAAAGCAGGATGCTCCCTACTCACCTGAGGCCACAGGCAGCGACAGTCCTGAGGAATCTGATCAGTGGGGTGCACCAAAACCTTCTGCCTGAGATGGGTACCCCACCTTGCAGGGAGTTGCAGCTGAGAGTATCTGACGCAGCAGCAGAAGCAGCTAATACAGAGAAGGCCGCTGGGGAGGGTCAGGGCAGAGGCCAGTGGAGGGCTGGTCCCTGTTTCTGCAGCTCCAGCACTGGCTGATACCTGAAGGATGAAGGATGCTAGAAGGAGCAGCTCAGATCCTGGCGTATACCAACTGTCTGGCCAGTGGGGGAGCCTGGCTGCTGCCTGCAGCCCCTGTGCACACCCCCACTGTTAACGTTTCACTGCCTGCCCTTCCCCATTGCAGGCATCCAGAGTCTGGGCTAGAGCCCTCCCCAAAGGAGCTGGAAGTAGCTGAGTCCCAGGCAGACTCCCCCCTCAAATGGGGTGGTCTGGACCTGTGACAGCCCCTGCAGTGAAGTCAGTAGAGACTGCGTGAGACCCTGCTCATTTGAAATTCTGACATCAGCTGGGCAGTCGCCCCCTCCATCCCTCCTCCCTCTACCCTGACACAGCATTTAGCACCTGAATCTTCGTTTCTTTTCCAGGGACCCTCCATTCCCCATATCCAGGAAAATGTGATGAGCTACAGGTTTCAGCTTCTAGATCACCACTTAACGTTCTAGCTACAAGTGGAGAATCCAAGGGCAGCAAGGTCCATCAGAAAGATGTCTGAAGAAATGGCAGACCAAAGAGAAGAAGGAGAAGCTGGGGAAAAAGAGGCATGCAGAGACCAGATCAAAGAATCCGACAAAGAAGAGGTAGGGGAGAGTCGGTGGGTGTTTCTGGAAATAGATGGACTTCCTGGATGCGTGTGTGTGTGTGTGTGTGTGTGTGTGTGTATGTGTTGGTTTGAGAGATTGCCTCTTACGTCTGCAGCGTTTTGCAGCGTTTTGCGTGGTGCTGTGGGGAGTGCAAAGATGTGCGCAACACTGACCTTCCCCTCTGAGGGATCTTGTTTGGGGTGAATGGACATATACAAAATAGAAAGTGCCACCCGCCAAGACCTAGTCTAGATAATGCGCTGTGGGAACTCAGAGAAAAAGTCTGATTAGGGTCGGAGGAGGTCGATGACGCGTCTTTAAAGCTGGAGACAAATCACGGGCCTGAAATGCTACCACTCTTGTGAATAGGGGCCAGTCAGCTCCTATTGCGTGATGCCGGTGCATCACGCAAAATTCCCAGGTACCCGCAGATTGCAACGTTCCGGGGGTGAATGCCCTCTGCCTTGGAAGCCCACGGGTCCAAGGAGATGTGCGCAATAAAAATCAGCGCCTGTCGGACGCCTGCCTCTCCCCCTTTTGGGGGTTAAATGACTGATAGTGAAGGTGTAGGCGGAGTGCCGCGATTGCGGCCTCGAGGGGCTGGCTGAGAGGGATGCTGCTGACTCAGCATTTCCTGGAGCATATCTTGGAGCCTGAAGGGAGATGCCTATCCGCTTTGGTTTTGGTTACCAAAGGGGGAGGGGGTAACGGACCACAGAGGGAGAGAGTGCCGGGTGCTTGGATGTGGGAACCTGGCCCCCTGGAAGGCCCCGCCCCCTGCTCCGGGCCCCGCCCCGGACAAGCCCCGCTCCCCTGCGCTACAGAGGCGGCCGGCGGAAGGGGGCGGAACTTTCCTGGGAGGCGGAAGTGCCTTCTCGCCGTTGCCCTGGCAGCGCGCGCGACTGGTGAGTCTGCGGAGCTGACGCTGCGGGCTGGATGGTTTCTATGGTGGTGCGGTTGCGTGGGGTTTCCGGGCGACGCGCCGGTCACCTAATCGGAGGGGTCTGGCGGCGAGCGGCCGTTGGCCGCAGGACGCCCTACCGGGCGTGGAGCGCGGTCTTATCTGGGAGCGAACGCAGCGCCAGGAGGAGAGAAACAACTCGGGAGGCAATAGTAGCTGCGCTTGAGGTTGCTGGCTTTGAGTCCGGCTGTGCGACCTTAGACAAATCGCGAATTCTCCCCGTGCAGCCACCTCGCAGTGTGGAATCGTGTGAATAAATTCGCCTTAGAAGAATTTTAAGGCGTTCATCCTCTGTATGTAATAGGTTGCTATGAATGACCATCAAAGTGGCCTGTCCTAAAATCAGGTGACCCGAGGATGGGTTCAGCTGAGGAACTCTAGCACAGGGGGGTGGTGGGAAAGCTCAGTGGAGGATGGGAAGGGATAATTGGCTGAGAAACACAATCAGTTGGAGAAAAGCCATATGAAACAAAGGCTTTGCTATGTCTTGCTGTCTCTGGTTCCTCAAAGACATTCTGGTCAGCGTGTCCTTTTTGTCCTCACCTCCCCCGTGAAACGAGCCATTCTTTCCCCTTCTCGGTCTTTTTCCAGGAACCACCAGCTGCTTCGTCCCATGGCCAGGAGTGGCGTCCAGGTGGCAAAGCACCTAGGAACCCAAAGCCTGAACCCGGGGCCAGAACCCCTGCACTCCCCGTCATGGTCAATGACCCACCAGTACCTGCCTTACTGTGGGCCCAGGAGATGGGCCACGTCATGGCAGGCCGCGCCCGCAAGCTGCTTCTGCAGTTTGGAGTGTTCTTCTGTACCATCCTCCTCCTGCTCTGGGTGTCCGTCTTCCTCTATGGCTCCTTCTACTATTCCTACATGCCGACAGTCAGCCACCTCAGCCCTGTGCATTTCCACTACAGGTGAGAGGGGTCTTCTATCAAAGTAGAGGAATCCTGTGCGAGGATTTCTGCAACTACCATTGGCGCTTATTGAGGAAAACCCTCTTATTTACAGAGGAGGACACTTGAGCCTAGTGCACTTATATTGATTTTTAGCCCAAGGTTGGGCCAGGTCTGGGCTAGTAGGGCTCTAGGTCCCTAGTCCTGTCTCTGGTTACTGAAATCTGGTTTAAAAAACAAACCAAAAAAGCCCTCTCCTAGACTGTCATTATGAGGGTCAATTCAATTTAGGCTGGATCAGACCTCTCTCAGGGCTACTGTAGACTTTTAAGCTAACCCAACCTCTCAACTCATCTCAGAACTAATCTGGCCTTCAGTAGAGAAGGTATGAGGAAAGCGGTATTTGCCTTTCATATCACTTCTTCCCACTCCTGATTGTCTGCTGCAATAGAGCTTATGAAAACAAGGTGTCTAGGTTCACCAACTCCCAGAGTCCTACTTTTCTGAATCCTCAGTTCCTTCCCATTTTACAGATCCTGCCAAATTCTCTCCCCTTCTTTTAAAAATGACTACAGGACCAATCAAGAGGTGCTGATAAGGAGACTATTATCAATGGTCCAAAGTTTTTTTTTTTTTTTCTTTTTTCTTTCCATGTCCTGAATCCCTGGTCATGAGCCATAATTTCTAAGGCAGAGCTGCTTAAACTTTTAGTAGGCATGGATCTCATGAAAGCTATGGCCCTTCCTGTCATAAGAACCTACTTATTGATACATACCCATGTGAAATTTTGCCTACAATTGGAAGGGTTTGTGAGCCTCTTATCTGTGGGTCCCTTTGGAGTAGTTTTCTCGAACTAGGCCCCAGGCCAGAACTTTGGAATCAGAATCTCGAGGGATGGTACCCAGGAATCTGTTTTATTTTTTTAGGAATCTGCATTTTTATCAGCTTCCCAAGTAAGTCTTTAGAAACAATTAAGTCTGAAACTATTCAACTAAGTGTCCATAGGTTCCCATTTAAGAATGTCTACCTTCATGAGAAGAAATAAACACAAGTAGCAGAGAGAGAATTTAAAAGACTCATTCTAGTGTCTTGAATCTCCTGGCTACACTTCTTCTCTGTCTCTCTCTAACAGAGAAGGATGCCTGTTCTGGAAGAAAGGATGGGGGGCAGGAAAGGGAGTCCCAGGGGCCCAGGAGGTGTGTGGATAAGTAAGACAGACTATGACTTAGCAGAGTATCATCCTCATTCTCATTTAGGACGGACTGCGAATCCTCCACCTCCTTACTCTGCTCTTTCCCTGTTGCCAATGTCACACTGGCTAAGGGTGGACGTGATCGGGTGAGTACGGGAGCTGAACAGAGGTTTCATTAGAGCTTTGATGACTTGAAACAAGAACAGTTGGGAAAGACCTTGATACCAGGGACTGAGTAACAGAGACTAAAGGGAAAGCTTTCAAGGAAAGGGAGGTTAAAAAAAATTGAAGTCCAGATGAATTGAATGGGTTATTCTTTCCTCCTTAAATTGTTTCAGCCAGGCCTTATCTGCTAGATAAAGGGGTGTTTTAGATCTAAAAGAACTTAAAGAAACCAGCTATCTTACTGAACTAGGATGGAATCCACCCAAGAATTTTGAAAGTATGTTATTATGACACTATTGAGAGATACATGTAACCTTCCATTACAAAGGGTACTGTGCCAGAGGACTGGCCAAATGCCAGTATATCTTCAATAAACCTGAAAGCCCTAGGAAATGCAAAGTAGGAATGCATCTTTCTTTATTAGGGAAGTTGGTGGAAGCTCTGCAAAAGGGTAGGATCCCAGAACACTTCAGAAGGACCCTGGAGGATCAACAGCATTTCTGATCACCAGAGTATTTTGACTTGTCAGCAGCATAATGAGAAGTAATCAGTGGTCAAACTAAAAGTTTAAAAATCATTTGAAAATGATTTTTCAAAAATTGTACTTGGGAGGATACTGACCTGAAGATAGAAAATATGGAGGATAGAAATAAGTGGTCACTCTGAAGGGAGGAATGTAAGCTATAGAGTTTTGGACCCCCTGGGGTTGACAATACAAATAACCCTGAAGACTGTGTATCTTGTGACATCTTCCAATGTACCACCAGAGTACCACTATCCAGAAAGTTTACCAGGCGGGATGAGTGGATCCCAGATGGAGATTTCAAAGTGGTGAAGTGGAGAATTTCCTGGCAGTCCAGTGGTTAGGACTCCACACTTTCACTGCCAAGGGTCCTGGTTCAAATCTGGTTCAGGAGCTAAGATCCTGCAAGTTGCACAGCATGGTCAAAAAAAGTGGTGGAGTGGAGTGTTGGGCATTGTGAGACAGAGGATTATCTATTTAGTTCTGCTACTCAAGAAAGTAATGTGGAGAGTACTGTAGAATATTCTATGAAAACATAGGTTCATTGTGTTTTTGTGGCTCAATAATAATAATAAATGGAATATATTGAGAGGGGAGTAGAAACAAGATCACAGTACATCTACACCTGGGATGGTGCATGCTGTTGTGTGGCTTCCTGTTGTAGATCGTAATGGTTGGTGACACAGGGAGCCTAAAACCATCAGGTACCAGACTGTTGGGTGAGGAAGGAATGGAAGGATGAAGGGTGAGGCCCAAGTTCCCCAATAAGTAAAGCAGCTTGATCATTTCATTGATTTCTAGTGAACATTTTTGAATGAGTGAGTGAAATAATGGGTCTATTTTGTGGGTAACAGCTTGTTTAGAAGTAGATGTTGTTCTGCTTCAGAGAGCTCACAGGATTGACGGAAATCTCTACATTGCATTAAGTAGCAAAGATGCAGCTCCTGTATTTCAGAAGAATTTGCAAAGAATTAGGTCTTCTGGAGACTATGGCAATGGTGAGGCTCAGTGTGGGAATGGAGGAGATTTCTCCATCAGGCAGACAAATGT